ATAGGCGAAATTTTCCACGGAAAATATTTTCCGGATTTTCCCCACACGTGTGCAATTTCCGAGTTTTTGATGAAAATGTTTTCCCGCCTTTTTGGTGAGAAAATATTTTCCCGGCTGGCTGGAAATTTTTTTTGTTTTTTTTTGGCAATGGAAACAAATGTCGAACTAATGGTAAAAAAAAGATTTCACTTTAATAGACAATTTTTATGTAAAATAAAGCCAAACGAATACTAAATTTTGAAGAAAAAAATGATTTTTTTAGAAAAAAAAATCTTTTTACTTTTTCACCATGGAAACAAATTTTATAACCAATTGTGGAAAAAAATATCACTTTAATGGACAATTTACATGTAAAACTAAGCCAAACGAATACAAAATTTAAAAATTTTCAATCTAGAAAAATATACTAATCAAATACACTTAATTAACAATTCTCTGCAAAACAATTTCTAGGCAATTATTTCTCATGGAATTCATTTTCTTTCCACCCATTTTCCACCCTTACAATCAAACGGACCCTAAATGTTTATTACTGTTACAATGTTGTATAATTAATAAAAATTTTAGTGGAAATAAAATTACCCTATCATTTGGTATTCCGTTTTCATCTAAATTTAGATATCAAGGGAATTCATGTGTAACTACCAATTAAAACAACTTTTAAATGAGGGTAAATATAACATAAAATATTTTTTTTATCAAATTATATTGTAACATTCTCTATGCATTAATTTTATTACATTAAATATATCATTTATTTGTTACGATGTGTGAAACAATCAAATGAAACAACTATTTAAAAAGGAGAATATGGATGTTATTTTTTAAAATAGGCTAATTCAATCGAGGGAAAAATTTAAGTTATATTTTTATAATAAAAGATGTTAATAAAAATTAATATAATATTAAAAATATTAATTTAGGGAATTATTGACAGATGGAAAAGAAAAAGAATTTTTTTTTTTAATTTCATGTTGAATAAATTGAATTAATGTTATTAATTAATTATTAACAAAACTAAAAATAAATAAGTATATAGCTAAACTTGTAAGGAATTAATGTTATTAATTAATTATTAGTAAAATTAAAATTAAATAAGGGTATATTAGGTATATGACTAAATATGTAAGGGTAAATTGGTTATTCAAAAGTTTCTCTTTAATCTCCCTTTTTAATATATTGTAAATGAAAGAAGATAAAAATTGTAGATCGCATGAAATATATGATTAAATTTAATTATTGAATTCGACATAAATTTAGCCCACACCAAAAAGAGGGCTTAAAGATATTGTTGAGAAAAAGATGGCTTTACTTGGATGAAATAAAAATTAGATTCATGTAAATAGGAGAAAGACCTCTGTTTTGTGGAGATTAAAATAAATTTTTTAGTAAATTTTAATAAAAATTGATGAAATGCGTAATTGAAAAGTTATAGATTGATTGGATTCCATAAAATGCATGGTTAAAATACATGATGAATTTGACTTAAATTAAATTATTGACTGTAAACTTCAACCAAACATGTGCTTTATGTCCTTTTATTTTATTTTTTATTTTCTATTACACTATCACAGTGACAATATGACTAAAAAAATAGATAGTCGTCAACTCACACGTGTTAAGCATTTCACCACTATATCCCCTACACCACAAGAAGCTTTCTTGTAGAAGTATTATGCAAGATATTAGATATGTATACTTTAACTACAAGCAAGGCATGAAACAAGTTATGAACGCTTTTAGGGAACACGGCGTTATAAAATAAGAAAAAAAAATTGAATTTATGTATAATATTAATTTATTCAAAATTATATGGTTGAAAATAAGCAAAAAAAAAAAAAAAGTTATTTTTGGAAAATGGAGCCCAAACTGGGACTAATATAGTGAAAAAATATTTTAAACTTATAATGAACTTAAATTTTTGAAAATATACAATATATCTTTCTTTATATAAAATTATACGTTAGTCCAAATATATCCAAGTTTATTTTTATTAATTTTGTTAGGTTTTTAATGTTGACGATTCTGCAGACAGAATGACTAATTTGTAATGTATTGTAAAAGTTAAGGATTTAGGGTGTAATTTGTATAAATTGAGTTTTGAGGTATAGGGTTCGAGCATGACAGAGGAGAAAAACAGCGCCGCATTATAGCTGGCCTATCGCCTGGACACTGCTCGAACGATTAAAACAGAATGGCTATCGCTCGATTGTCGTCCGACTCTCGCTCGAGCGACGGTTGTTTCGAAAAATCCTAATTCGCGATTTTAAACAGATTTTCCGGCCCATTCAACCTAATTCTCCTCTCCTATAAATACTCAAGCCATTGGACGAATTTTGTGGGGTTGTTCATTATATTACTTCTTCCCATCATCCTTTGAAGATCCAAAATATTCTTACATTGACTCTATCTTTTAATTTTTGAGATCATACAACCACTTATTGGGAAGAACTTCAATTCCTTAAACCGGAACACCACCTACTTCTTATTGGTCATAAGAAGGTACTTTCTCAATTGGATTTCAGACATTTCTGGAGGTTGAGAGATGTTGGACTACGTAGGCAAGAAGGAGAACAAGAATAGATGATTCCTAGGTATCCACTTGGAAGAGGCAATTGCAGAAGATTGTGAGTCTGGAATTTACAGCAGATCTTGGAAGCTACATGAGGTAGATTAAGAGATCTAGCAGGTTGGCTAGATAGTATCTACGGTAGCAGATCATGAGTCTGGAGGAACAGCAGATCTTGAAAATTACAGGAATTACAACAGCGGGAACTAGTGGAATTTGTTAGGCTGGAAACAGACTGTAATTCATATTGTCTATAATTGAGGTAACTGGCTTGGTCCCAGAGTTTTTACCCAGTTGGAATTTCTCCGTCATCATATTGGTGTTCATTATTTATTGCTTTCGTTATTATTGCGGTATTCAAACATAGGATAATTGGCTTGTATGATTAACCATCTAAAAACAATTAAAAGTGATTTGCTGCTTTTGATTGATTAATTCCGCACGTATGGCCAAAATTAAAAATAGATAGTTAATAACCATTCGATCAAACTTAGTTCGTAAATCGCGTATTTTCAAATTTTATGTCTTGAGCTCTATTTTTTGGGACATTAATTTTGTAATAATAATTTTTAAAAATATATGTGATTAAATGGGAAAAAAATATTAAATTTACGTGCAAAAATTATTTTATTATAAAAATGTGTAATTAAAAATAAAATAAAATATTAGAGATTATAACTCAAATATTAAAGTAGGATTTTTTTTTAAATTTACGTATAAAATTATTTTATTAAAAAAATGTGTAATTAAAAATAAATAAATAAAAAAGAAGAAATTTTAGAGAATATAACTCAAACAAGCACTAAATTGTGTCATCAAAGGGATACTGCCAAAAAAAAGTTAAAACTCAAATTTATTAAATATCCATTTTTCTTTATTGAGGGTGTTATTTATAATTTTTTGGAGGATGATAAAATGCCTATTATTTTTTGTAATTAAGTTTGAACTTTGAACAAATTCCATTAAAAATAAAAAATAAAAAGTGAAAACTCACTTTTTCTTTAAAATTTCTTTTTGACAAAAACTACCTGCACACAGTCAAAACCCTAGTCAAACAGCACAATTTACAGTGACCTAAACCCGTCCTCCCCAAGAAACTTTAGCCACGTGGCTTCTTCATAATCGATCTGATCATCAGACGAACTTCCAGAGCAATCACAGCCACTAATTTCTTTGACCAAAAAACCCTCCGCCTCCAAGTCCCTGTCAACATCCAGACCATTCTCACGGGCGTCTGTAGTCCACGCGCCACCGCTTTCTTCCTTCATTTCTCCCAGAACCACCCTCCTGATGCCCCCCAGGTCAATGCTCGCCATCACCGACGAGTCCGAGTCGGAGAAAGACGATCCACAAGTCTCCTCGTTGCCATTTATGGTAACGTAAGCCGACGACGACTGGAATATCACCGTCGAAGAGTAGGGGTTTTCGATGAACCTCACCTTCACTGGAGGCGGCGGCGCGTCCCATGAGTCTAAAAGCTTTGATAGCTCCATAGCTGAATCTTCGTCTAGCATTAACCATGATGTCATTTCGCTATCATCTTCTTCTTGTATCCCGACGCTTCCGTCAGGCGCCTCGGTCGTTCTCAGTCGTTTCCCGATGACGTCCCCGGTGGGTTCAAACCCATTTCTCTTGCCATTCTCGACCTCCATTTTTCGTGCTTATGTGAGAGAGAAACTCAGAATATAAATGAGAAAGCAGCGTGTTTCTCATGCATTACATATTTCTCATATTCGAAATAAATACAAAAATGTACGCCTGTCACTGTTTGTATCTATATATATAGGTACAGATAAAAAGCAGGGTGGCACGTGGTAGTGATAAAGAGCATGGGGTGGCACGTGGTGGTGGAGGATTGGGCGAGTGACGTGGCGGAGGATGACGGGGCGGAGTGAGGCGGCGGAGGGTTGGGGGTTGGGAATGGAAAAAAGTGTTTTGTCGGTAGTGCTTTAGCAGGTAGACAAATACTTTGGCCTCCTGAAACGCCTACACATCTAAAGGGTAAAAAAGTAAATTATCTTTTATATCATTCTTTACCCTATAGCAAGTAAGATTATCTACACCATTAATGCACTGCCACCCTTCCACGTAGGGAGTGATGTAAAGATAGATGTACACAAGAACGTACCCTTTAAGATCTGTAGGTGTCTTTTGGATCCGGCTGAATCCAGTTTTGCGCCTAATTGAAGAAACAATATGACACAATTCTTCACATATTAGGATGATTTTGAGCCAGGGAGAGTTTGTTTAAAACAACTTAAGAAGACTAGACGTTTCATCAATTAATTATTGAGTGTGTATGTTAACGGAAACTAAAGAATTTCAAGTAAATTAGAGCAAGTGTTTTTTTTTTTAACTAGGCATACAACCTACCAAAAACAAGATGAAACAAATATTGTTTGACATGAATTTTACAATGAAGTACAAGTAAATTGAGCCCCTGTTTGACAACCATTATTTGAGAAAATTAGAGTTTAGAATAATGATTTTTAGAAAAGTGCGTGGTTAAAAATTAGGAAAAAAAAATTGAGTTTACGTGCAAAATATTTTACTATGTAAATGTATGGTTGAAAATTAGTATGTAAAAAAAAGAGTTTGAAAATAATGATCGTAAAACATGACTGACTTTAATGGATTGTTTTGTCACAAAGAAAGAATCATCATTACGAATTTTATATATCAGTTATAATGAAAGAAGACTAAAAATATGTTAGAATTTGAGTTTGACTTGAATTCCTTGTTTGAAATAATGAAGAATTCTAATTGTAGTGAACATCAAGAAGAATTCAATTTTGGAATGCTATTGAAATCTTATATCAAGCTGAAGTTTTATTTTGGAAGCCCGTTGGAAGTTGAAAGTTGATATTAAACTTGAAGAAGAGTTTAGAATGGAGAAANCTATAAATACCAGGCTCTTCTATACAATTTTATAATGTGAGAAAATAGATTACTAGAATTATATGATCCATTATAATTTTCTATTTTCTCCATTATTCTTGAGTCAATAAAATCTCTTAATTCCTCTGCCATATTTTTATCTTCTTTTATTCTTTTACTTGATCATATACTTCATTATTATTTGTCATATAATTTCAACATCTCAATCCGGTAATTGATGTCACAACAAGTGGTACCAATCCTAATAAGTGGTATCAGAGCCAATGTTCAGCAGTTCCGCAAGAGCGCAGAGTTTGATTTGTTCAAGTTTTTTTTGTAATGGCTTCTATGAAGTATGACATTCCGCTTTTGGATCAAAGCACTAGATTTTCACTATGGCAGGTTAAGATGCGTGCAGTACTCCCATTGTTGGATTTGGATGATGCGTTGCTGGGTATTGACAGGATGCCAGTAACTTTGACCGCGGAAGAGAAATTGCGGAAGGATAAAAAAGCACTTTCTCACATTCATCTTCATCTATCAAATTCCATTGTTCAAGACGTTTTGAAGGAGAGGTCAGCAGTTGCTTTATGGTTAAAGTTGGAGCAATTACGCATGACCAAAAGTCTTACAAGCAAATTGCATCTCAAACAGCGGTTATTTTGCTATAGCAGGTTAAGATGCATGTAGCGCTCGCATTGCTGGATTTGGTTGATGCGTTGCTGGGTATTGACAGGATGCCAGTAACTTTGACCGCGAAAGAGAAATTGTGGAAGGATAAAAAAGCACTTTCTCACATTCATCTTCATCTATCAAATTCCATTGTTCAAGACGTTTTGAAGGAGAGGTCAGCAGTTGCTTTATGGTTAAAGTTGGAGCAATTACTCATGACCAAGAGTCTTACAAGCAAATTGCATCTCAAACAGCGGTTATACTCTCATCGCATGACAGAAGGAGGATCATTAGAAGATCACCTGACTGTATTTAAGGAGATCGTTGCTCATTTAGAAACATTGGAAGTTAAGTATGATGAAGAAGGCCTTGATCCTATTATCTTCATTGCCTGTTTCTCTTTCTTCATTTAGAGACACGCTTTTATATAGTCGTGATACTCTCACCATTGGGGAGGTTTATGATGCTTTGTTTTCAAAAGAGAAGATGAAGCATCTATTTTTTGAGACTAGAGATGGAGAAGGTCTGGTTGCTCATGGTAGTTCTGGAAGGGGCAGATCGAAATCTAAATTCAATAATCAAATTTGTAACTACTGCAAGAAGAAGGGGCACTTGAAGAAGGATTGCTACAAATTGTAGAATAAAGAAAGGATGGTTGCAAGTAGATATTCAGATATTTCAGGCGAAGCAGACCTCTTGGAAAAAGGTTGTAAGTGATGGAGAGCTCTTAGCTATTTTTGACATTAAGTCTAAATCGGAAGATAATTGGATTCTTGATTCAGCATGTGTATTTCATGTGTCCTAATAAGGACTTGTTTGCTACATATGAAACTGTTTCCAAAAGTGTCGTGGTTATGGGAAACAACACATCTTCTCGGGTTGTTGGAATTGGTATAGTCAAATTGAGGCTGTTGGATGGGACAATTAGAACACTTGGCCAGGTTCGACATGTTCCAGATTTGAGAAGAATCTCATCTCATTATCTATCCTTAATTCAAAAGATTATGAGTTCTTTGATAGAGGTGGAGCTTTGAAGGTTTATAAGGGTGTTGAGGTTATATTGGAGGGACATAAAATGTCTCAGTTATACATCTTGTAGGGTCGTGCAGAATTTAGAAGAGTCAATCAGCACAGGTTCAGCACCGTTGTGGACATTCAGTTTGGTACAATACCTTTAGGAGCTCATAAAAGGTCAGATTTGAAGAATACAACTCAGTGGTTCATAAATGGTCAGATTTGAAGAATACAACTCAGTGGAATTTTGAAGACATGGATAATACCGCTTTATCACCATCACTAGCGGTGCCATTGTATTCAATTACTAGAGTTAGACCCAGTGGAACAAGGTATGTGGATGTTGATTTTGTTGAGCATGCTTTGAGTGGAGTAGAATGTGTATAATCTAACAAGGAGCTTTCTGTAAAAGCATTTGATATTGATTTTGCTTTAGGGTGTGTTACCACCCATTTTGGTAAATTATAAAATCATTATGATTTTTTGGAATCTGAAGTAATTCAGCAGAGTATTGTTTGGATTCATTGGAAGATGTGGAGTATTTTGTATTTGGCTGGAGAAATTAATTTTTTTGATTATTGTTGAAGAAGCCGTTCATTCCTAGGTGGAATTCGTGTAAGGTGAATTTGAAGTATTGAAGAATTTTAATTGTAGTAAACATCAAGAAGAATTCAATTTTGGAATGCTATTTGAGTCCTATATCAAGTTGAAGTTCTATTTTAGAAACCTGATTACGCCCAAAGTGTTACGCGGTGTTATAGTATAGCTTTGGGGTGTCGTATCCACAGGGAGATGGAAAAGTGAATCAAGAGGTTCAATAACTTTGGGTTATCGTAAAATTGATGAAGGGATTTTGTTAATTGCATTCAAATGTAAATGTCGTCGGAAATAATGATGAAATTTAATATAATATGTAAAATAGTGAAGTTTCGGGGTTCCCTCAATTAGATTGGATCAATCAACATCAACAATTCATGCATTCTCTACTCAATTAGAAGTTTTTGTCCTAACTTTCTAATCGGATGATTTAAACGATACAAACCAATTTAATTGCACATGTAATCCTAGAATTTATGTTTCC